TAGAGTTAGCCATACAGGGGTCTGTTCCAGTAATTGCCCCCCCCCTTCCCCCGCCACACCAATCACCCTCCCAGTGCACCATCCTCTTCTCTTTGCTGCCTGGGCCTTTCTGTGTGCAAACCTCCCCCTCCCTTGCAGCGGTGCTGGTTTTCCTCCTCTCCCTCCCTGCTTCTGCAGGCACACGGGGATGTTTCAGGATGGAAATCGAGGGAAGGGGCTGGTAAGTATGTCATATACAACAGCATCTTCCTTACCTGAATGAACACAATTAGTGATCAGTACCGATCACTTATTGTGTTCATTCATAATTGAAGCAGAGTAAACTGTGTTTGTTCTGCTTCAGTTTGTTAATGAACAGGAGCTTCTGTACAGAGCACTTTCTGTTCATTCACTGTCAAGTACAGCTGAGGCTCCAGAGAAAGGGACTGAGCAATTTATGTTCTCAGCCCCTTGCTCTCAAAAGTGAGACATCAGGGGTCTGTGTAGACCCCTGATATTTCACAAAACCCTTTCCCCCAAAAACATTGTGAAGAAATAAATAGTACTTCAAAGTTGTAAAAAAATAACTAAAAGTATAAAAAATTATTTGAAAAAAATAAGGGCTCATTCACACTGGTCCTTTGAGCCATACAGTGTGAATGAGTTGTTTGTGCAGCTGCAGCCACCTGTTACTATATGAGGAAACACTGACTGTACGAACACAGCCGCAGGTCCTAATTTGATAGTTGTACAGGTGTGGCTGAGTGACCCTGAATGCACACTGTCTGTTTTTGGATCTGTGCACCTATACCCACGCGCTTGTCAAATTAGCACCCGTGACTGTGTTTGTACAGCTGCTGTGTCACCACAGTGGAACATAGGCTGGCTGCACACAATTAAAAATAAACCCTCCTGCGCTGCCAGTAACCACCCTCTGTGTATGAGTTGCAGAAAGCACCTAATAGTGTTCCCACCAATAAATCATTAATTTAAAAAAATTGATTCTGCACTACTCAAAAAATACCAAATATATATTTTAGTAAACACCCCACAGGGCACTAAACAAATATGTATTAATAGTGACAGATAAAATATTCATGTAAGCATAATGGACCTGCAGTGATGTAAATGAATAAAACAATAAAAAAATCCCAAAAAGTAAATAAAAATATAAACATAGACATCTGGCTGCCAATAAAATGTGCAAAAAGTGACTGAGCAATACAAATATCCAGAGTATTGCATAAATAAATAAAATAACCAGAAAATTAGCCTGTAAAATCATCAAAATGACTGAAAATAGTGACAAATGACTTGAATGTGCCATAAAAATCAACTGAACCCTCAAAGTGAAATCACATAATTTTCATTAAAAAGTCCCAATATGTGCAATAAAACAAAATCTTCAGTAATCTGTGAATCCACTGGTGAGCACCGCTTGTTCTCCTCCACCAGCTAGCAAGCGTGCTCACCTCTAACTCTGACTCATAAAGGGTCATACACACTTTAAATAAACACACTAAGCGGTATTATCCTTTGATGTCCCCTCCCTGATGCTTCAAAGGAATTCTCTCTTATGGACCATGATAAATATCCGGGTCCACAGACCTATACAAGCATGTGTAAGTTCAAATGATAGAGATGGGTGTATCAAGATGGCGACTGCCCTATGAAACTGGAATTGACGTCACTACGCTTCCGTCCGAAGCGTTGCGTCATGAATTACGTGACTTCCTCAGGGATAAACATCACAGGATGCACACAGCTCCAGCGACACAAAAAAAAAAAAACGCTGACACTGTACAGGACACAGCACTCTTGTGAATGACCCGCAAAACCACATTCACACACACAGCTTTATTTATTAACTCAATACAGATTTATCTTTTAGATTTAGCAGGACTGTTGTAAGTTATGTTCTGTTTGTGTCTGCTAATCATGATTTTAGTATATTTTTAGAAAAAAATTATTTTTTTTTTTTTTGGGGGGGGGGGATTTTTAACAGCAGCCCTGCTCTCACTCCCCAAAACTACATAATAGTTACCAGCCACTCTAATGTACAGAAAAATGAGAACTGTCAAGGCGATCCGGAAAAAAAAGGAGGACAGAATGCCTAGGAGAGATCCGTATAAGTGTAGTAGCATACAGGCTAGGATATGACTAAATCAGAGTAATATTGGTGTGTAAATTCATATTTGTGAGGTTGCAAGAAGCCTGGTCAGGGATCAAGCAACTATTTTTAAGCTTGTGGAGAACATATCTGTCTCCTTGTGGATACTGACTGGTCATCCTTGAAGCTCATTGGGATGTTTTCTGCATGATCAAGTACTAAGCAGTATTGGGTTCCTGATATGAAATGCTGAGAGAGGTTAAGAGAGGCCTCTGTGATGGAAGAAGAAACTTTGAAGTTTTCTCTTGAGAAGGAAGATATTTATTGTCAAACCACTGAAGAAAAAAAAATATAAGTGAAAAATAAAACAAAATATATGCAGATGACAGGCCACTCAAATATCAATTTATGAGTTATACAGCATTAGTAGTGATAGACATTTTATTTTTTTTATAATATATAGCATACATAAAAAAATATTTGTTATAAACTATGTAACTGAATAAATCAATAGCTATAAATAATAAATAATCATATAAATAATGAATTCACTGGCTATGGGAGTGAAGCACAATGTACATGCCATTGCAGAGGTGGAATGAAATTGATGGAAAATGATAAAGATTATATTTCAGATGTGCATGAAGTTTGAGCTTGATAGTTTTGAGTGGGGAAAAAAAGAAGTATTCCAGTGAAAATAAATGATTCAAACAGTGGCATAGCTAATATTTGAAGGATAATAAAAGTTTTGGTTGATTATAAAAACAGTGAGGCGTTCTTTTTTAACAGCCTTAAGTGTTCTGAAACAGCGGGCCACAGACACACAGACTTAAGTGTATATAAACCTTAACAATTAACGTCTTATATTTGCTCCCTTTTTGTTTGTTAAATGTATAATTGAAAGTGTGTGCTTATATCTGTTCAATACATGAAAAAATACCCTTAGATCCTACCTGAAATCCAGTGATCCCCTAACTTCCTGTGCTTTCTGCTGCGTAATCTCAATTACACTTATCAGCCCTGCATAGTTCTCCCTGTGAACTACAGGACATCTCTCCCTATATGTTCTGGAGATTGAGAAAGGGGTGGTATTCTGTAGTCCTAACACATTTTCTGTACTTGGGTGATAACGCTACTGCTCCATAGACAGTACAGTGAGTGAGCATTATCACCTTAGGACAGGAAGTGTGTCAAGTCAGGTGACAATAAGCACAAAACCCTGAAAAAAAACCTAATGTAGCCAGCACATCCAGGGGGAACTGGTAAGCTGACAGATATTACATTTTTCTTCTAGGGTTACACTTTAACATGGAGAACATGTGCGCCTGTACTACTTCCGGTTTGTTGCATTCCAGCAACTAAGCCTGCAGAGTATACAGGAGCAGTCTGTATTAGACTAAGGGGGGGGGGGGGCTGCAAATGACAGGATGGTTTATGTCACACCATACATGGGGAAGTGAAAGGTAAAATGGATAATTAAAGTAACTAAATAAATATAGCTGGGAGTGGGTAGAACATGGATATTTGTATATTAGAGGGGAAGTATTTTTGTGATAGTAGCAACTTTGTATACGGTGAAAGTCATAACGTTATTGAAAGAAAAAACACAAAGTACCTATTATTGAATAAAATGAGCACATTAAACTCAGGATACTGAGAGAAAAACATTAAAGGGTGGTACTATATAATAGAAAAAAACCTGATAAAATATAGCATAATATAATAAAGCACAGCAAAACAGCATAAAAAAAGCATAATAAAACTCTGATGAAGAATATGCATACAGAATAATAAACATGAAACCTTTAATATTGAGAGGAACATAAATAGGCAGGTCTATTAATATATACCAATATATATACACCTACTGAGCCTTTGGTCTCCTTTTCCTGCCATATTGTTCTGAGATCTTTGTGTTCTATGAGGATTACAAACAGCCATTTTTCAGATTTTTCATGAAAAAGAGCATAATGTTACTTAAAACCTTTTGTTATATTTGTTGGCCACTTCTATTTTTCAGTTTTTGTGTGGTTCTTTTCACATACTGGAGGCCATATAGGCATTCCAACATATACAATTTATAATCGGTGGCACAATCCACAAAGAATTTGATATGATAAGATGCTTGCAAGTTTGTGGAGGTGAAGGTTTTAGCAACAATTATTTAGCTAATTGCAGATGAGACATCTTGGATGATTGCAACCTTAACTGACTGTTAGGACGTTGTCAAAGAGGTTATAAATCTCATTGTTTTGGCTTTTAAAGTACAACTAAAGATAGAGTATGGGTCAGTTATAACCTTTGGCAGTTTTTTTGCCATCTGTGTGCCATTGAGGAGATTTCTTTCACTTCCTGTCTCATAGCCAAAAAAGGAAGTGGGATGAAATCCTTCCAAAGTGATGGAATCCCTGATTGTCACAAGTGTCCCCATTGGAATATTTACTCCATATAATGTCCTGATGAAATGGCCATTACAGCACCACAAACCCATTGATGGTGTATTTTTGACAACGATTACCTACTTTTGCCAGATAAAATGTCAAAGCTCCTGCTTTCACCATGTATTCTACTGCTGACCTAACATCCATTTTTTGGGGTACAAGGCTCCCTCTCTAATGCAATACAGAAGATTGTCAGAGACTGTGAACTGCAAGAGTTGGTCATAGACTTAGGGTGTACTACTGGAGATGTTCCAAGGCTGGCAACAATTTACCAGAGATGGTCAGAGACTGGGGACATTCTACAGGAGATGGTTATAGACTGGGAACATAATACAGGAGATGTAGTACAGGAGATGGTTATAGAATGGGGCATATTACAGGAGATATAGTACAGGAGATTGTCAGAAACTGGGGACATTCTACAGGAGGTGGTTGTAGACTGGGGATATAATAAATGAGATGTAGTACAGATGATGAACATAGACTGGAGCAGGGGCGGACTGACAACTCATGGGGCCCCCGGGCAATAGGGGATCATGGGGCCCCTGTGTCCTTGCCCAAACTCAAAAAAGCCTATGAAAAAGGTACCAGGGGCATCTGGCAGTGCCCGAGTTTCCAAATGGTCAGTCTGCCCCTGGACTGGAGACATTCTACAGGAGATGGCTGTAGATTAGGGACATTCTACAGAAGATAGTGAATGGGGACATAATACAGGAGCTGTAGTACAGGAGATGGTTGTAGACTGGGAACATTCTACAAGAGATGGTTGTGGACTGGGGACATAATACAGAAGATGTAGTACTGGTGGTGGTCAAACACTGGGGACATTCTAAAGGAGATGGCCATAGACTGGGGACAGACGATCAGAAAGTTTTGGCATATTGCAGTAGATGGTAAGAGACTGAGGGTGTAGTACAAAAGATGGGCAGAAAAGCTGCATATACTACAGGAGATGGTCAGAAACTGTGGACATACTATAGTATAGTATAATATAGTATACTATACTACAGAAGATGGTCAGAGTATGAGGATATACCACAGGAGATTATCACATTCCATGAACATACTACAAGAGGATGGTGAGAGAGTAGAGACAACATCAGTGTGGTTGGCAACTGGACACATGGTGCTGGAGATGGAAACTAGAAACATGTTACATGAGACTGCTAGAGATCACTATCATTGCAGCCCCTTTAGATATCTGTGCTCCCTCTGCTGGTTACTGGGGTCTTTCGCCACACAATAGGTATAAAAAATAAAAGGGCCCTGGAACCATCCACATCAGTTCCTGCCTTGGATGCAGCAAAAGGAAATCAATGGAAATCAATGTGATCGAATGAGACTGCCAACAACATCAGGTCATTCTCAAGCTACTGAATGATAGCAATTTTAAGTAAAGTTCAGGTCATAAATTGGATTTGTTTTGTAAATATTTGCAGCAGGAAAGGACATGGAACTAAGTCAACACTGTCTTTATGCAGAATGAGACTCTCTCTCAGCTTGTTGAAATATTGAGATATAAAGCTGTTTTTGGTGTTGGTTAGCTAAGAAGAAGCCAAGAAATAGCAATCATCTATAAAGTAGATCTAGCACCAAATATATTTGTGCATGTTAAGTGCATGCATAAATTATTAGGAAAAGTCTTAAGAAAATTCATACAAAAATTCTCAGACATTCAACTGTTTGCAAGATTTCATTTGCATTTAATATTTGATTTTGGAAAGAACGGACTTTACTGATCAAAAACCATGCAGACTGTTAGAAATTTGTTCATTAGAGAAAAATTTTCCATCCTGGTCAATTTTCTTGTCACTGCGGTTGAAAATGAGCGTCAATTTGACCCACTAATGATTAGAAAAATGAACAAATTTTCTCAAAACATTCTTTTCCTAAGAAAAGAATTTTCATTTGAAATTCTTGCCTTCTTACCTCACCTTCAGTGTGCCCATCTGCTTCCCAAATGCTGACAGTGGCCTCCCAAAATACTTTTAGATCACATGACTAAACATGGTTAAAGGGAGACACCATAAGTGGACTTTCATTGATCACAATTCCAGAAATTTCCAAGCAGCCATAGCAAGTTCATGAGGATGAGGAAGGACTGTGACTTAAAACAAAATGTGGCTTTTATAATGATTTACAGATATTTACATTTATTTTACAGAATTGTATTTATGTTTTAGCATTCAGCTCCACTAGAAGTACGCCAAAAAAAAAGAGGTGCAGGGTGTGCAGTGAGAGTGTGATGGGGAAAAAATGTGTGCGAGGTGATGGGAGTTTTAAGTGAAATCATTCTTTATTGACGGGAAAATGTCTTTCTCGCTCCGAGTCACATTTATCGCTTTTACGAGCCGTTTTCAGGACATGTGCGGGAGACGGCGCTTCTTATAGATGAAGCTTTTGTCGAGTCCTCATGTCAACAACATAATGAACAGTGAAAGAAACAGATTCAAAGCCGTGTGATTGTCACAAGACCTGCCAGTGATGGCTTTGATGTTTCGGCAAATAACAGCCGGAGAAAAGTATATTTGGAGTGCTAAAAAGTCTAATATTAGTCTATTTGTTGTGTTTTGTGTTTTATCTAGGACACATAGGGACATACTTAAAGGGAAATGCAGGTGAAAAAAAATCTTCTCATTCAACTCTAGCTGGCAGAGAACTTGCCTAAATGTAAAATCTTCTCTTTTCTGCAGTGTATTTGAAGCCTAAAATGTTTCTGTACCTATGGATAGAGTAGGGAAATGGTTAAAGTGTTACTAAACCCACAACAGTAAAATCAGTCTGTATATACAGTAAAGCATGCTTGTTATACTCACTGTGGAACCTAAGGGGTTAATCCTCTGCATTGTGTATAAACGCTGTTTGATCCTGACTTCTCTGAACCTCCCTTTCTTCTAGTGTCCCCCTCTTGTCTCCTAATAAGATATATTGTGTGGAGTCACTCTGCACATGCTCAGTTTGGTGTGTATTGCTAGAGAGGGTTTTTTTTTTCTTGGGAGAGTGCATGTGATCAGCACAGGGCCAACCAGCACTGTCCAGACAGAGGTCAGGGGCCCTGTATCCTCCTAGAGCAAAATGAAAACTCCTTCTACAAGCTTTAACCAGTCCTCTGCTGGACACTGATAGAAGTCACAAGACTGCTCTAACTGCTGATGAGAAAAGGTATTTAGCAGTTTATAATTACTAAAATAATTGCACTTCCATGTTCTGTGTACTGTGGGAGACCAGATATAGTGTATGCAGGGTCCTGGGTTTAGTAACACTTTAAAGTGATTCTAAAAGCTTGTTTTTTTTAAGAAAAAATAACAATCATGTCTACACTTACCGGCTGTGTGCAGTTGTTTTGTACAGAGTAGCCTTGATCCTCCTCTTCTTGGGTCCTCCGCAGACTCTCCTGGCTCTCCTGGGGCCCCCATAGCAAGCTGCTTACTGTGGGGGCACTCGCTGCTCCATGTGTCCTCGAGTCATGGCCCTGCACCCTCTCTCTTCTCATTGGCTCACTGGCTGTGATTGACAGCAGTGGGAGCCAATGGCTCCCGATTCTATCTCAACCAATGAGGAGAGGAAGTCCCAGGATGGCCAAGACTCCAGTGCACATCATTGGACTGAGAGAAGGCTTAGATGAGTATTAGGGGGGCTGGGGGTGATTCTGCACCAGGGGCGGACTGACAACTCATGGGGCCCCCGGGCAATAGGGGATCATGGGGCCCGTGTCCTTGCCCAAACTCAAAAAAGCCTATGAAAAAGGTACCAGGAGCATCTCATGGGGCCCCCTACTGACCCCGGGCCCTCGGGCAGTGCCTGAGTTTCCAAATAGTCAGTCCACCCCTGTGCTGCACACAGAATATTTTTACCTTCATGCATAGAATGCATGAAGGTAAAAAACACTGAGCCTTTATAACCACTTTAAAGTCCCATCAGGTTGTTTGTTTTGTTTTTCATCTTAATTTCCTGTCTTAACGCGCAAAGGGAATTAATAAATCTCTTTAAAGCAATAGGTTGTCCCTTCTATGACTGTTGTCACAAGAGCAGGAGTCCCAATTGGAAGATTATACATTATTGGAAGATTATTGCCTGCTTGCCAATATGGTCCTGATCCCCAGGACACTGTTAACCCTACAAACACAAATGCTCCTGCACTTGGGGATGGACTCGATGCAGGCTACAACCACATTAAGAATGTCCTGGAACATGCACATCTTGCTGCCCTCAACAGACCGGGGGAATCCAAATATACTGAATGAGGAAAGAACAAACAGAGGGCGCACAGGCCTAGTGCATTACCATAAAAATGTTTAATAAAAAATAAAGTAGGTGTTGTACTCACAAACGACAATATAGTCAAGGCACATCATAAAGAACAGCTGGGTCAACACCGCGCTGAGTAACCGTCCGCAATGGGCAGTGTAGACATCCAGTAGGTTGACGCGTTTCGAGGACTTTCTTCTTCCTCAGAGCCAACTGACCAAATGTCTGCTCCCTCTTTTATATGCTCACTACTAGTTGAACCAAAGGTCACATGGGCCGTCCTGGACACTCCCCTATGCAGGTGGAAGAGTCACAGGGGCAATTGACATAGTATAAGTAAACACAAAAGATCTATAAACTATATAAATATATATGTATAAATAAAACCATTGAAACTAGTGACAATCATAAAATCATATGAACTATCAGAAGTGTGCAAATGAAAAATAAATAAGTAGAAAGTTACACATATACAGTTAGGTCCATAAATATTGGGACATTGACACAATTCTAACATTTTTGGCTCTATACACCACCACAATGGATTTGAAATGAAACGAACAAGATGTGCTTTAACTGCAGACTGTCAGCTTTAATTTGAGTGTATTTACATCCAAATCAGGTGAACGGTGTAGGAATTACAACAGTTTGCATATGTGCCTCCCACTTGTTAAGGGACCAAAAGTAATGGGACAGAATAATAATCATAAATCAAACTTTCACTTTTTAATACTTGGTTGCAAATCCTTTGCAGTCAATTACAGCCTGAAGTCTGGAACACATAGACATCACCAGACGCTGGGTTTCATCCCTGCTGATGCTCTGCCAGGCCTCTACTGCAACTGTCTTCAGTTCCTGCTTGTTCTTGGGGCATTTTCCCTTCAGTTTTGTCTTCAGCAAGTGAAATGCATGCTCAATCGGATTCAGGTCAGGTGATTGATTTGGCCATTGCATAACATTCCACTTCTTTCCCTTAAAAAACTCTTTGGTTGCTTATGCAGTCTGCTTTGGGTCATTGTCCATCTGCACTGTGAAGCGGCGTCCAATGAGTTCTGAAGCATTTGGCTGAATATGAGCAGATAATATTGCCCGAAACACTTCAGAATTCATCCTGCTGCTTTTGTCAGCAGTCACATCATCAATAAATACAAGAGAACCAGTTCCATTGGCAGCCATACATGCCCACGCCATGACACTACCACCACCATGCTTCACTGATGAGGTGGTATGCTTAGGATCATGAGCAGTTCCTTTCCTTCTCTGTACTCTTCTCTTCCCATCACTCTGGTACAAGTTGATCTTGGTCTCATCTGTCCATAGGATGTGGTTCCAGAACTGTGAAGGCTTTTTTAGATGTCGTTTGGCAAACTCTAATCTGGCCTTCCTGTTTTTGAGGCTCACCAATGGTTTACATCTTGTGGTGAACCCTCTGTATTCACTCTGGTGAAGTCTTCTCTTGATTGTTGACTTTGACACACATACACCTACCTCCTGGAGAGTGTTCTTGATCTGGCCAACTGTTGTGAAGGGTGTTTTCTTCACCAGGGAAATAATTCTTTGGTCATCCACCACAGTTGTTTTCCGTGGTCTTCCGGGTCTTTTGGTGTTGCTGAGCTCACCAATGCGTTCCTTCTTTTTAAGAATGTTCCAAACAGTTGTTTTGGCCACGCCTAATGTTTTTTTGCTATCTCTCTGATGGGTTTGTTTTGTTTTTTCAGCCTAATGATGGCTTGCTTCACTGATAGTGACAGCTCTTTGGATCTCATCTTGAGAGTTGACAGCAACAGATTCCAAATGCAAATAGCACACTTGAAATGAACTCTGGACCTTTTATCTGCTCGTTGTAATTGGGATAATGAGGGAATAACACACACCTGGCCATGGAACAGCTGAGAAGCCAATTGTCCCATTACTTTTGGTCCCTTAACAAGTGGGAGGCACATATGCAAACTGTTGTAATTCCTACACCGTTCATTATTTGTTTGGAATGTCTGTGGCATTATTGTGATTAGCGCAACATCAATTTTCTGTTTGTTGTTTTTTGCTAGTGGTATAGCCAGGTGTGTGCTGCTGTGCCAATAGTCCCATCTTTTCTAGTAGCAGCGCAAAAAGTTTTTTACATATTTTTTACAGTTTGAAATAGATTTAATGGACTGATAGAATAAATGTGATCACGTCAGAATCAGTCAAAAAACAGGAACCCCATCAATCAATTTAATAGAAATCAACTGGATTGTAATCTGGATTTCTAAAAATCGTTTACTGAGTTGTTTGTCAAATTATTTGTTTTTAATTGGGCAATGGTCAGATCACTTCGTGTATGGCCAGTTTTTATCAGTCTCAATTTTCTGACCACGTATAGTATGGGTTTGGTTGTATTTGGGTGGAGTATAGAGTGTTCCACTTTTTTTCTTTCTACAATGTTGAGAGGTAAATGAAACAACATGATTTGCCTTCCTACCATTTTTGCTTTTCAGTCATGTTTGTTCTTGATGTTGTGATTGTCTTGTAGAGTTTCTGATTTTGTCACAAGGGAGTCAGCAGACTGTCAGCACAAGAGAGGTCATCTTGGTTCAGGAATTATCGTCAGAAAAATGTGTGTTCTTTGTACATAGGGCAAGGTTGTATTTTAACCAGGAATATCCAGGATCCCGGACGTGTGAACTGTAAACACACCGTCGAAGGTTTGCCTTAAAGGACACTTGTCACAAAGGTAGAATTGCACAGCACAAAGTTCAAGTTAGGTAGAAGATTTACTTTTTTTTTTTTTTTATGTTCACAGAGAAGCATTTAAACACTTCAGGAAGCTATCGCAGAAAAAGGCATGTACTGTAGAAGATATTAATGATAAAGGATAGATATACCAAACAGACCTTTGAGATATCCACCACACATTCCTATATGGGTATCCATCATAGGCCCATAGAAACTCAAAAATCAGATCTGCAGCTCTGATCACAGGTTATTATCATAGCCAACCCCTAACTAAGGATTCCACATATGCACTACAGGTGAAAGCATAGAAGAAACAAGTATTTTAAATGCTTCTATTATGTAAATTAATTTGCGCTACAAGAAATCCTTAGGCCGCACTGTAGTAGTTATCGGGTACAGCCGGAGGTGGAGATGAGGGCTTCCAAATGAAAAATTCTCTCCTAGTTAGTGTTTGGCTGTCCCCTGATGATGTCACTATGGTGAAACGCGTAGGACAGATCTTCACTGTCTAAGAATATACAGCGTGGAATTCTATGTGTTGTCTGCTTGCATTGCTTTCCTCTCAGTGCAGCTAGGCTTTATATGAAACCAGAACCTGAGGGGAGCTGGCAGCTTGGCACTTGATGTGCCTGCTACTGAAGCATGTAACTGTGAGTGTGTATATGTTTTAAATCAATAAATCTTTAATGCGGTTTACACTATGAGGCTTTTTTCTCTTCTTTGAGCAAAGTTTGAGCTGAGGGCTGTGTGATGTCTATTATCAAATCCATTGATCAAACACACAGGCATCCGCCTTGATCCAGATTTTCGGTTATATAAAGCTCCAGTTGCCCTAATATATTAGGGTCCATTTGAGAGATGAGCATACACCTTTGGGGATCCTCGGTGGTGGCTTTCACGGTTGTTCTGGATATGAAGTTGCACAATTGTTCTGGACACTCGAAGTGGACATTTCTTTTTGGTTTATGTGCTGGAAATGTGGTCACAGACTTTATTGTAGTTTGCATCTGGCACCTTTTAAATGATTACTTGCAGCTTTTTTTCCTTTCCATAAATGATTTTTATTCACTTTTTTTTCTGAACTTACGAGAAAAATTTGACTTCTTCAGGAAGTGTCAATACCCTAGGATGTCCCTCTCCCTCCTTGCACACCATAGCCCTCTCTTCTAGGAGTGTCTGATTTGTTAACCTTTTGTCAGGCAGCAGAGGAGGGAAGGGGAACACTAACCACTAATGACCTAACCACACACACACATTGCACGATTTCTGTAAAATCTCCTTTAGGTTTTCTAACTTCTGTGCAGCACGAAGGCCTTCCTAAACAGTTAATTTTATATATAACCAGATATATATGGTTAATATAAAGGAGACATACAGAATTTGCACAAATTGTGACTTTTGTGGCTTGTTTTAGAATAATGACTGTAAACAAGAAAGTGTTTTCTGAAGGAATTCTTTATTCTTGTTGTTTTATGGAAGGCATGGTTTCATTATTTAGAGGAGTGGATTATTCCTTTAAGTGAATCCTTTTTCCTTTCAGGTCAGTGTGGTGGCCATTTTAGGCTTGATATTGCTCTGCCTCCCCTATCAGCCGGATGAGAAGACATCCGGGCAGTTTGCCTTAAAGGTAAGAAGAGTACAAATGATCCTGTAATAAAAAAATATTGATATGATTTATGCATGTTAAAGGTTTGCTGAGTATGCTAAAGATAAGCTCCAGGTAAACAGCTACACCATCAAAATACATGCAGTATATGGGAGTTGTTTTACTTGGCAAATCAACTGTGTTTTTGTCCATCCAGTCCTGAGATTTGAGAAGCCCTGCTATACAGCAAAACCAATCTAGTGACCTGCAGTTAAAGCGGAACTCCAGTCACTGGTTAAAAAAAATAAAAGTCAGAAGCTCCAAAAAAAGCTACTCACCTGTCCTAGGATCCAGCGTTTTCCTCACTGCAGCTGGGTTCACAGGATTTCCTGTGTCC